GAGTTGCACGTAAAGATGAGAATTATACGTACTAATGAGAAAAAATAGAAGAAAAAATATTTTTTAAAATTTGATAAGCAGTGAGTAATATAACTTAACTGTAACCAAAATGATAGTAATCGAAGTTTAAAGTTATCTATATTTCAACAAAATACAAAAGAAATTTGATATCTTTTTTAGAAAGGCTCCTTTAAATTCATTTAATATAAATATGTTTTCATAAAATAGAGAAGTTTTACTTTTTCATTCGAAACCCTTCTACGTTCCTAACCTATTTGTTTTCTTTGGAGTTTGGACAATGGATTTCAAGAATATTCAAAGAAACCAACATGTAAACATATCTAAGTATGAAAACTCGCAAGAGACAAATGTAACTTATAAACTATATCATTTTCAGTGTTGTCGTAATACTATTTTATATTTACCATTATTAAATCCATGGTCGAAAAATCAAAGTCCGACCTTGATTAAATTATGCTCGCACTGGATAAAATTTCTAGCTCCGCCCTTGCAAACGAAGCCTCACCGTAGTTGCCACTAGGGTTGGGGCAAAAACCAATTCGAACCAGTCAAACCGATCAACCAAACTCAAACTAACTGGTTTGGATTAGTTTTTTAGTTCAATTGGGTTAGGTCCCGAATTATCTATTAAAACTCAATCAAACTCAACACAACCAAATAAATGAAAAATATTAAACCTAAAACCTAATGATCAAAATTTCCCTCTGCCTTGTGTCTCTTGTGCCTCTCATTGCTGTTCGTGCCTCGACTTCTCGACTCGATTTTTTGGTGTGATTTTTTCCTAAACACTTGGATTGAGTTTGGATGATTTAACATTTTTAGAATTTAGGTTGAGTTCATTTTATTCAATAGGTATAATATGCAGGTATTCAATATGTATTTAGATTGATTTAATATACATTTAATTTGACCATGATATAATCTATTTAACATGTTTTACAATATTTTTAATTTATATTGTTCTATTGGAATGAAACTTAACCCCATGGATCATTGATCCAACTTCAATTGACTTAAAACTTTTCAAATCACTCTTTTTAATATAACTGAAATTTGTCCAAATTGAAATGGTATCAAACTTTTAAAAAAATTGTTCAAATTCAACGAAAAAAATCACAACCATTGGGACCATAAAAAATTGTCCAACTTGAATTGGACTCAAGTCCAAACTAATCAACACAACTCAAACCAATCTTAGTTTGGTCGGTTTGGATTGGACTGAGTTTCAACCGTGAATGGATTGGTTTCAATTTGAATTATTGTCAAATCGAACATGTTGGTTGAGTTTGGGTTGGACTCAAAACCAACACAACCCAATCCAATCCACGCTCAGCCCTACTCCAAATTATGCTAATTCAAGTACAAAAAACTCCTTGTACATCGTGTACTAATTTATTAATTTGTATCCAAATCCAAATTCCACGCCTATTCATGTTGAACTTGCTTTCTCCCATCACATGCCAACAACTTTGCTCCAAATATGAACTCATTGCTTACTACTCAAACACACTTTTTTTGATCAATAACCCCGTAATAGAACTTTGTAAAATGACCGTGTTCTATAACAATCAATGAACTCCTCCTCCTCCTCCTCTTCAAGAAATGCATTAGCTACACATTAATATAGTTTGAGAAAACCGTAATATATAAAAGATCATTAGTTAGCCAAATAATAAAAATTAATGTTATTTTCAAGGTCCAAATGGCGAAATTGCACCGAGATTATTTAGTCCCTGTTTAGCCCTAATTTTATAAAACTCATTCTTTTAAACTCATTTATGACTACATATTTTATGTGACCCACAGCTTTAATCAACTTTTTAACTACATATTTTATCATGTTTTATCAAAATATACTAAAAATATAAGTTTTAGCCAAATCTAAAATGGGCTTTTTTTTTTTTTTAATGTTAGTAATATGTTACTCAAGTATTTGTACAATTTAAACTATTCATCTTAAGAAAACTTCAGATATCTCCTATGTTGTTATGTACTTAACAGCCATCTTTAGTATAAAATCATTTTCTACTCGTAAAAGATTCCTTGTAAAAATGTCAAATCCTCTGCCGACTTATATCAAATTTATCCAAGTGTCAATTGTACTATTGTTTCACAACTTAAAAGTTTGTCATCTTATCAAATTTGAAAATTCAAATAAACATTAACCTTATGTTCTTGCCCTTACTCCACGACAAACGAACACCTGTAATTCTAGATTATTCACTTAATTTTAAGTCATATCATATTCATACCCATTCGAGACAACTTGAAACAATACATGGCCAGTGCTTTCTAGTTATTAAAGTTTTAAGTTTTACTTGGTTGTCACACGTAAATTATGATATGAAAACGCGTGTCAACTCGAAAATTATCAATTTTCAAGAGTATCGTGATTGTATAATTATCAATTTTCTCTCGACCTTGGTACAAAATTCAAGATGAAATTGCTCAAACGTACACTTTTCTTTGAAATATATTATCACATTTTAGCTAAGAATAAACTCATTTTACAAAAATTATGTTATTGACTCTAGTATTTCTAAATTACAATGATTAACTCCACCAAATGAACTCATTGGAAGAGGAGAGATAAATAATCCATTAGGACAAGAAATTTGGAAACATTCTTAAGAGCTCACCTAACTTGTGGATTTGTTTCATGTTGGTTACCCAACTTCAATTTATGTAATTTCAACCACCCAATTACGACTTTGTATCAGTTTGACTATTCCACCATTGATCGTGATCAAAACGACTAATTAGCTAGCAAAATGCGTCTTCTAACAATTGTGACGTTAAATAAACATTTTTACTGCCGAGTACAACTCAAATCGAAACTCGATTCTGAATACATTCATATTAGTAACAATTGCTTATCACCGATAGGTATTATTCAAAAGTTGTGAATCAACAGTCGTAAACTTGTGTTTCTTCACCTTTTAATTTTGGCAATACAACATAAATGTAAGCGAATTCATTAGAAAAGAAAAGGATAAAAGTTAAAAGTAATTTTGTAATTATAATTAATTAAAAAAAATGAAATAATCTTCCATTTCCCACTAATAATTATGATAGTCAACATCATCAGCTAAGTTAAAAGAGTCAAATGCCCCTCTATGCTCTGTATCTCTCTAAACCTTTCTCTCTCTATATCTATGCACACAGAGGCATATATCGATACGTACACAAAACACATGTATCTATAACATTTCGCTAAATTTCGATTCGCACTCTCAATTTTAATTTCTCGATTTCTCCCATTTCAATTTGAATCTCAATAACCTCTTTTTTCGTATCTCAATTGTCTCTCTCTAATTTCTAATTTAAGTTTTCCTGCGAAAAACCCTAGCTTTCCCTTTTTTGCTTCAGTCCCTTTCTTCAACCCTAGACTAAATCTTTGACACCTGAACTTCGCAATCGCAACTCATTGCCTGTACAGATTGGGTAAATCTTGTGCTGTTTTTTTTTTTTGGCCAGGTGTGCTTTGATTGGTTGTGGAATTATTAAATCATTCTGTAATTTATCTTGATTTTGAATTGATTAAGTTGTTTTGTGAGTTTTGTTGTATTTTAAATAAATTTGAGCGTTAGGGGTTCATGGGATTCATTCGATTGAGCTTTTGTTTATTTAAGCTACCGATAAGATGCTGTTTTTAGGGTATATGTAGAAAGAAAGAAAGAAAGAAATGTTTGCCTTTTTGGATTCTTCTTTTGATCATTTTAGATGAGATGATCTTTTGAAGTATTTAATGTTCCTGTTTAAGTTGGCAATCGAGAATTTAGGACAGATTTTTGGTTTTGCACGTCGGTCCCAGTTAGAAGGAAAGTTCTCATGTATTTTTATTTAAATGTGAACTCAATGGAAATGATGAATGTGAAACTGCATGTTAGTTCATTTCAAGGAGTGAAAAGAATTTTGACTCTTTTTTTGTGCAATAGTAGAATATCGTATTGGTAACACGTTTTGTAAGTTTGGGAAAATATTCCATTCTTATGATCAAAATGAAACAGTGCATTTAATCTTTAATGTATGTTTTTGGGATATTAAGGTTGTCATCATCCATGCAGTAATGAATGTGTTTTGTAATTTTATCCTTCACTCTACCTGAAACATAGAGTAGTGGTTATGTTGATTCTTCATTAAAGACAGGTTACACGTGGTGATAAAACTGATATTCGGTGTTTTGTCCGTTTTCCATTTGTAATTCAAAGCCTAGCTTGCTGATTATGATCACAATTGTTGAACAAAGTATACCTAAAATAAAACTAAACATGAGATTTTATATTTATTTCTATTCTTTAATTTCGTGTATTCAGGATGATAAAGAAGAGCTTATGAAGCAGTAATCCGTTTTCTTTTTCTTTACCCGTTTGTTTGAATTAGTTTCCAATTGAAGCTTAATTTTTGAGAATGCACTAATTTGACTTGAAAATTTCTTTTTTTTTTTCGCTATTTGAATTTGTTGCCAATTTAAGTTTAGTTCTCAATGAGTTTATGGAATATGAATATTGGTTGCATTTGGTGAGAATTTTTGTATGAGATTCTGTACAACAATCTCTTATAAGGATCTCCTTTATGGTCGGTACAAAATAGGTGTAATAGGTGATTGAAGTCTAATTCTTGATTATTGTGTCAAATTCGGTTGTAGAAAAATGAGCTTTCTTATGTTTTTTTTTATACTTGTGATGCTAAGCACAAACTCATGGGTATAACCGAACAGTATTCTATACATCTATTAAATGACATGATTGATCAAGTACTTGCGACCAAGAATTTATATGGTTTTAAACACGATCTTTGACTGTGATGCTTCATGGGCAGTTTTCTTATTACATGTAGTTATGCTAAGCTCTGTCACCGTTTGCCGTTAATTGCATTGGATTTTGGCAATTTCTAACAAAACCATCACCACAGATTGACTTGCTTATACTTATTGTGGCTCGATGCTGGAGGCAGCATGCAGATAATAGTTTGGAGAGATGCAAAGGTATCATGCTGGCAGCTGCACTAGTGCAGTTAATAACGGTTCAATTGGTGGGATACCGCCTAGGGATACATCCCGAGCTGAGTTATCTGCTGTTCCACCACCAGCCAACTTCTCTCTAAACTCAAGGTAGCTAGTCTAATATTGTTGTCATACACCGTAGTTCGTTTTACATGCATGTACAAGTGCTGTGGTGTTTTTAGTGGGTTTACAATGTGCCCCAACGGTTAAACAACTCTCTTTGTTTGGTTTGGCCATGGATTTTTAATAGTTAGTTTGATGCCACCAAGCTTTCTTCATCGGTTTATGGTAGGTGCCTATCGAGTTTAAAAATAGTGTTATTTCATAAACTCAAAGTTAGTTTGTTTTATTCTTAAACATTTCCCTTTGTCTTCATATTGAAAACTTTTCTTTTCTTCCTCTAAACCATTGTAACATGAGAAAGGAAAAGCCTTAATAGGCTGAGATTTATGCGGCTTTATAACATATTCGGAGAATATGAAATTAGACTTGAAAACCTTTAAACGAGAGTGTTCAAATTTTAAGGTATCAGGACGTTACCAAGCCAAACCAATAGGATGAATCAAACACGTTCCGTATCATGAACTTTGTACTGCGCACGTTACTTAGACCGGTTCCCACTTATTGATGTCGAAGTGGTAATACAAAAAGACCACCAAAAAGTAGATAAGAAAATCGGGAGCCCGAATCTTCGTTTATGTTGCCGTATCTCTCATGACCCATGACCCTACTTGTGGGTGTCTGACAGTTATTTTTGTCCACTCTTTTTAGTTCAATTATAGGTTATATTCATCTCTCTCTCTCTCTCTCACACACACACACACAAAAATACAAACAGACATGAGAACTTGTGCACAACCAACACAGCCACCACCAAAATCTCTAGGTGCCATCCACTCTCTTGATACCTTAACCACCACCAAGACACCTCTAGTTTCCAACAAGATTTTCCAAACCCATCAACAACTCATTTTCAAAGATCACTACCTAAACTGGAATTTAATTATTAATTTGCCTCTGTGCAATGAGCTTTTAGGATTCTTTTGTGTCCAAAAAGTTTGTAGACAATGTTAACTTGCTACATTCTTGTTATAAGATATTAAACCAGTTACCTATTATTACTTTTTACAGCAATGATTTACCTAATTAATTTTATTTGCATATCTAGTTAAGGTTGACAATTGGAATACCTTTTTCTGTGAAATGTTGTTTTTTCAGAATTTTGATAATAACGACATTATGTAACTGTAATGTTGAATGACTCTACTGGCAATATTTGTGTATCTTCTATCTTGAGCATGCGTATGCACTTTTTTTTGTCATTAAAAGTGTTTTTTTTTTTAAATTCTGAAAAATATATATCCCTATTGAAAATTATCATTTTCTGTCTCATTCCCCTTCTTCTCACTCTCTCTTCCCCCTTCTCCTTTGCGCCTATTTGTTTCTCCCCCTTCCTACTAAATACTAGGCATAAAGTCATAGCTAGATTGTTTTCGTTACCTTAAGCAGTGTGTTAATCTCATTACTGCAGGAGGTCTTCACAGCTGACAACATACAAGTTGAGGTGTGATAAAGAATCATTGAATTCCCGGTAATTGATGTTAGCAAATAGTTTTTGTATTATATTAACAAAATGTCGAGTTTATTTTGCATATTCTTTTAGAAGCGGTCATCACTTTCTCTCTCTCTACTATAACTAGTGGAAAAAGATTGAAGAGACTAAATTCTTGGTGATTTATTTCCACAGCCCTTTAAGCAACCCAGTATTGTATCTTAGATTGGTATCATTTGACCGTATTCTTGCTTTTTATCTCACCTGTATTTGGTAATACTCGTTTCCAGACTTGGGCCGCCTGACTTTCACCCGCAGACACCAAATTGTCATGAAGAGAGACTTACCAAGGAATATGTGCAATCTGGTTACAGGGAGACAGTTGGAGGGCTTGAGGTAGTCTAATAGGAATCTGATCAATTTTTGTGTAATGACTTTTTCTAATTTTATTTTCAATACTTCCTAGTTATATATTTCATTTTTTATCTTGGACTTGAAATTAGGAAGCTAGAGAGATTTCATTCTCACAAATTCAGACTTTTACAAAACCTGTCATCGTCAATTGCAAAGAGGTATGTGGTAAATTGGATGGGATGTTTTGGTACTTGTTGAATATTGCAATGACTTACAAGTGGTCTTTAGCTTGTGGAAAATATGCTCCTATTGTGTTGCTGTTTGAGTCAAATCTCTTTTGCAGGCAATAAGAAAACGTCATAGAGCCATCAACGAGTCTCGTGCTCAAAAGCGCAAGGTGTTTCATTTCTTCCACCTTCCATTTGATAAGAGGAAAATCATTCATGTTTCTTACATCTTATTTACATTAATTGTAAATGGAGCAGTTTTTCCTCCAATCCAACATGTATTTATTATAATCGTGATAGTGCTAAAGCAGCTAGATGGAAATTGAGTTTGATTGAATATTATTAACGTAACAGGCTGGTCAAGTTTATGGAGTTCCTCTTTCTGGTACGCTGTTAACCAAGCCTGGTATCTTCCCTGAACAAAGACCTTATGGGGAAGACGCCAGGAAGAAATGGCTCGAGGTTTGTTTTCTCTTTTGTTAAGCTTGTGAATTTGCTGTAACACTTGGCAACATTATTAGTTTATTAGATGATCAAGCATGTTCCACTTATTTGTTAAATGTATCGTGTATGTGAAGAAAATATAATGCAATTTAGCAAGGTACAATTGTTTTGTATTGTGGAAGAAATCCTTTTTGTTAAAAGATCCTTGGAAACTTCATTGAGACGTGTTTTTTTTTTTTGGATTTCCAATATTAATGCGAACTGAAGTGAGACAGTATCTTTGATCAGACGTGGAATTTTATTTATTTATTTTTCCGTTTTATATTGGCTTTGACTTGCTAAGTCTTTGTTGAGGAAGCTACTGATTTTTCATTAAAACCAAGTACCTGTTGGACTTGTCATTTCATTAAATGAGCTAAAAAATCACACTAATTATTGAAAGCAGGATCAAAATGTATTTCAAAGTTTGACATTGATATGCAAGGAAACCCATGGGCTCTGGCATTTGATGTTTCTGTATGATCAGATTATGGAAATGGGCCAACATAATGAGAAAACCTCATGTTGGGAGAGATTGGAGAAGGATTCTTAGGTGCAATAAAACTCAATGAAGACAACCCGAGGGAAATGCCTCCTTGGGGATATAGTTAGAATTTTAACAGAGATGAAAGTTCTTTATGTTTGTGGGTTAAGACAGTTTCCCTCGTTGAACCAGGAAAGAGATATGCCATTAGCTTTTGAGAAACCTGATGGGCATCTCTCCCTGAACCTTCTTAAAAGAATTAGATAAAAATGACAGATCCTTTCCATACCCTTTGCATTAAACTCTGATTTTGGTCATGCAGACCTCATTTGATGTGTTACCATTGGTGGATGTGCACATAGAAGTTCTTTAACACCTGCTCCACCCCCAAATGGGAAAAAAAGACACTTGACATAAATGGAGATACTTTTATATATCTTTCTATTCCCCTAACATCAGATTATTAGAACACATTTGTGCTCTTCTTCAGGGTTTATCTCAACAACATAAAAGGTTACGTTCATTGGCCGACCACGCTCCTCACGGTTACAGGAGGAAATCTCTTTTCGAAGTTTTAATCAGAAACAATGTTCCATTAGTGAGAGCAGCATGGTTTATCAAAGTAACCTATCTTAATCAGGTATGGATTCGTTTTCAAGAGAAAAGCAGCAGCGATGATTTTCTCAACCGTTGACTATTCTCAAAATTGGAAGATAGTGGATTATGGTTTAATCATGCAGGTTCGCCCAGGCTCATCCAGCTCGTCATCAGGGGCACATGACAAAACTCAGTTTTCGCGGTCGGAGCTGTGGACAAAAGATATTGTTGATTACTTGCAGTATCTCTTGGATGAATTTGTTACAAGAAATAATTCTCGTTCGAGTTTGCATATTCGTGATCGATCATCACAAATGGTTTATGCTGGTTCAATGTTGGCAAAAGGTGATCAGTTTTCAGCTGTCACTGATAGTGAGGAGCCTCCTCTATACTTCAAGTGGTGGTATGTGGTGCGGATTATTCAGTGGCAACATGCTGAAGGACTGCTCACTCCGTCTCTCATTATTGAATGGTTTCTCAATCAACTGCAGGTATTGCTGTTGTATTCCTTTCCTGTATTTCGATTTCCTAGGTAGAACAGAAATATTGCTACCTAATTTGTTTCTATAAAACATGTTTTTCTTTTGGGTTTTAACATTTGAAATCATGTCATTCCAGGAAAAAGAATTGTCCAGTGTTCTGCAGTTGCTATTGCCCATCATGTATGGTTTTATAGAAACTGCTGTATTATCTCAGACCTATGTGCGAACTCTGGTGGGAATAGCTGTTCGTTTCATCAGAGAACCTTCTCCTGGTGGTTCTGATCTTGTTGATAATTCTCGCCGGGCTTATACTACTACTGCTCTTGTTGAGATGCTTCGATATTTAATTCAGGCTGTACCTGATACTTTTGTTGCTTTAGATTGTTTTCCTCTGCCCACGTGTGTGGTGACTCATTTGGTAAATGATGGAAGTTCTTTATCAAAAACATCTGAGGATGCAAGGAAGAATGGTGGTCCACTAGAAGTAACCGGTGTGCTTAGAGATAAAGCACATGAAATTCAAATTGAGTCGTTAGCTATTGATCGTGCTGTTTCATCGATCCAAAAACGTGCTGAGACTCTTGCAAGAGCAGCCAAACCTGATCATCCCGGTCATAATGTAGCTAAAGCCTCCCAGGTATTGGATAAAGTTCTTGTGCATGGAGATATTAGAGCTGCTTACCAATTACTCTATGGATACCTTTGGGATGGAGCTGTTGCTGAATGTTGGATTGCTGAAGTGAGCCCTGGTTTGCGTTCATCTCTTAAGCATATTGGCAGAGTGACTTCGTCGTTAATTTGCTCCACGTTTTTCATTTGTGAGTGGGCAGCCTGTGATTTTAGAGATTTCCGTACTGTGCGTCCTCATGGCATGCAGTTTACTGGTAGAAAAGACTTCTCTCAGATATACATAGCAATGAGGCTTTTAAAACAGAAGATGAGCGATATGCAAAATTTGAATGGTTTGAAAGGTAAACGGAAAGATTCTTTGGATACTTTTGAAAGCCCAAGCCCGTTGCATGATATTATCGTGTGTTGGATTGATCAACATGAAGTGCATAATGGAGAAGGTTTCAAGCGCCTTCAGCTTCTAGTAAGAGAATTTGTACGAGCTGGAATTTTTCATCCCCAGGTGTATGTGAGACAGCTGATAGTTAGTGGGATCGTGGATGGGCATGGGTCCATGGTTGACCTGGAGAAGAGGAAGAGGCACCACAGAATCTTGAAGCAGTTGCATGGTCCATATATTTTCAAACTTATGGAAGAATCACAAATTATTGAACCATCAGTAGTTACAGAGGTGATGAATGTTTACTCAAACGAACGTCGGTTAGTGCTTCAAGGGCTCCTAGATCACAATAAAAGTCCTAGTAGAAAAAGTTCAAATCAGAAAGTAAAGCGTCGTCTCAGTTCTGGAGGTGGAAGTGCAGATCAGTGGTCTATTCACTCAACATCAAATTTACAGTCCAAATATGTTGGTGCTGATATTGAGATTGAAGAACTAAAGGCTTCAATAACTGTCCTGTTGCAATTTCCAAGTTATATGTTGACAATGGAAAACGGACTTGAAGAGTCGCAAGGGAGTGTTAAGAGGTCTAGTGGGGCTAATAACAGAGTAGATTTAAGTGAAGAAACACCTGGATGTGAAGAATGCAGAAGAGTGAAGAGACAAAGATTAAGTGAAGAGCGGAGCTTTGACCCGAAGCTAAATCCAACAGATGAAGAGGAAACATGGTGGGTAAGAAAGGGGATGAAATCAATGGAATCTTTCAAGGGAGATCCACCTCCTAAGCCAGCCAAGCAGCAGGGGTCCAGGGGTAGGCAAAAAACTGTCAGAAAGACTCAAAGCCTTGCACAATTAGCTGCTGCCAGGATTGAAGGTAGCCAGGGAGCATCGACAAGCCATGTATGTGAAAGTAGGATAGGCTGCCCACATCATAGGA